AAAAACATACGTAATAATGTTGCACCATATTTTTATAATTTTTAATCTCAGCCTTTATGCATGTAAGCTTGTTAACCTTCAGTCAAAAATTTAATCAATAGTTTAAATAAATGTATTAAAAACCCAGTATTTTCATGCGTAAATACAAAATTTTTTACTAAAAAAAAATTCATTTTTGAGTTCATTTTTTACGGGGTCATTATAATGCAGAAATTTAAATTTAAATGAAAGTTCCATCATTCATTTGTCATTGTATCGTGTGTTAATGCGCTAATTTGCTGTTAATAAATACTGTAAGTTAATTTTTTTTTATGGCGGATTCATAATAACTCAGAAATAAAAAATTTAAGTAAATTGACCAATTAATTGAATAAATTGATTAATTAACGCTGATTATATAAAAAGGGTTTTCCACACAAATATCTTACTTTTTTCTGTGTATCCTGTTCTCGCTGAACAAATTCAACTAAATTTAGTTATTCAAACATTTATTCATGAATCATCCGGTATAGGGCGGATAGAAAGCACAAAAAATGTCTGTCCATCTGCCTGCCAATCCTTAACGCAAATGGGACTCACAGAGCTAACAATGTTACCACATCTTTTTATATTTTTATTCGTGTACCTTTGTGCATCTAAGCCTGTTAGCCTCTGGACAAAAGTTCTATCATTCATTTAAATGAATGTATTGAAAAACCAGTATTTTCTAACACCTCATTGACGGTAACGACTCTTTTATATTTCTTTTTTTTTGTGTCTTAGTGGGTGTTACTCCTTTTCATTCGTAGGCGTAGAACAAATTTTTATTTATTTAATTTCCCCCATACAATCACGGTAGAAAGAGCACCACTATAGTGATTCATTATTTGTTGCCAAAACTCAATGCATAAGTACATCGTTAAAGTTGAAGTGGAAGTTCTTTTTTTTTCTTCTGCGTTTATTCTTCCTCTCGTTTCTTTTTTAATAGAATGCTTAGCTGTTAGTTGGGAATGGTTCGAGTGTCTTTTATTTGGTGAATCTTTTATCGGGATAACAAGATCACGGGGATTCAGATGGAAGAAAAAAATACATAAAAAAGAATAACGTTCTATTGTGGAATAAAAAATGGATCTGTTTTGTACTCAATGAGTTATTGAAGAGCTCCATAGAAATCTCAACAATTTCCATGCGTTGTGAGTAACGGGTTTTTAGAAATTTGATTGATTGATTATAAAACCACAATTATAATCAATTAAACTTCGACATCTGGTTGATTATGAAACCGTAATATAATAAAAACATCCACGAAAAATACATTTTTAAAAGTAGTATACGTCAGTTATTTTCTGTTCTTCTATATATATAAACTGTAAAAGAAAGTAAAAATTCAATTTTACATTTTTAGTGATGTTGCATATTGCTATAAACTTTTATATATTATATGGACTCTCCTTATATAAACTGTATTTATACATGAGAAAATTATAGAAAAATTATATAATTGAGTAAAAATTGCGTATTTGTGTGGTTAAATCTTTCGGGAAATCGGGAAAATATCGGGAAAAATTCTTCAAAAACAATTTCAATTTAAAATGCATTTCAAAATTACGATGAAATCACTGAGAAATATGCTTACAAAAAGCAATTTAGCTTATTAAGAAATAAAAAGCAACAAACAGGTATAAAACAAACAGAGTGATTTTTATGAAATCTCCTCATCTTGTTGAAGATACTAATTTTTTACTAAAATTTGAAATCTATTGAAACCAGCTCTGATCACATCTCTCAAATTCCTAAACCAGGCCGTGGATATTTGTAATGGTAATTTATTCGTGTTTATTTATCTTTTTACTGATAAGTGTGGCATTTTGCAGTTAATTCAGTTCGTACTCATTACTGAGAAGTGTGGCATTTTACTGTTAATTCAATTCGTACTCATTACTGATAAGTGTGGCATTTTGCTGTTAATTCAATTCGTACTCATTACTGATAAGTGTGGCATTTTGCTGTTAATTCAATTCGTACTCATTACTGATAAGTGTGACATTTTGCTGTTAATTCAATTCGTACTCATTACTGATAAGTATGGCATTTTGCTGTTAATACAATTCGTACTCATTACTGATAAGTGTGGCATTTTGCTGTTAATTCAATTCGTACTCATTACTGATAAGTGTGGCATTTTGCTGTTAATTCAATTCGTACTCATTACTGATAAGTGTGNGTGCTTACTTTCGATTTTCGATAAGTGTGGCATTTTGTTGTTAATACAATTCGTACTCATTTGTATTATTCTTAAGTTACTGTATGTATGTTAATATTTATTTTGGAAATCAAAAAATAATTTGAGCTCAAATCAAATTTCCTTTCAAAATCCATCTTCATTTTTTTTTAAATTTAATTTAATATTTCTTTAAGGAATATATGATAAAAGTTAAAATTAAAACCAATTGCATTGATTTTGATTGACTTAAAACACAACCCGTATTTGTCGCCGTCTCCTTTTTTTTAAACTTATTTATTTATCAATTGGTGATCTAATTATGACATACATTCTCAGGCACTCAAGGCACTAAAGTGTCATTCTGAAAACTGGGGTTCGATCCCCAGTGGCGGCTTGAAGCCCTCCCAGCTTCAGATCGATGGGTACCAACTCGTCTGGGAACTTAAGGCGGTCTCATTGCCACTATCATGCTGTTGGTCACGAAATTGTAGAGACTTAATTGTTAATGCTTTGTTTTACATTCTCAGGGGAAAAAATGTCTCAACATAGGTTTCTAGTGCCGGAGAAATGTGTTGCAAGTTTAATAAAGGGCCAAGTTTAACCGTTTTTCCGTCCAGGTTTAACCACAATATTGCATTAACAAGTTTATAAGGGATTTGCACTATAAGATAATGCAACTTGGCACCGTATTAAGGGTTACAGCAAAACTGAATGATACTACGATTCATCCCAGACCAAAAGTTCTAACAAATCAGAGTTAACGTCTAAATTAGTTCAAATTTTTAGTTCAATTTAACTATAGATTATTTAATACATTTCAACCATGTACTTTAAGGAGCTTTTCCAAAACCATTTACCTCATGGCTTTTTTCTCATGCCATCAGCTTACTTGATGACGTACCAAATGAAGCACTCTCTTTGAATAGACAGTTCCCAACAAAAGAAGGCAATTAGTAAGCTATAATCACCACCAGAAACGTTCCAAGATCTCCAAACCACGATGCCGATTTTATTCACTTATTCGAAAGGCAAACAAAAACTTTGATATTTAAATTTCAGCACGATCGAACTCTAGCATTATTGCCAGACAATGCTATCAGCTTCATCTGAAGACCACTTGGAAACTCTGGGAAGCTCACCTATCTCAACTTCTTCCTTTTTTTTTCACGTGTTGATTCAATTCAAATGAGCTTGAGTGTGTTCGTATCAGCTCATCCTTTCGTTTTTGTTTTTTTTTTCTCAATCGCTACTACTTTCACCTTCATTTTTTTTCTTTACCTTCGAAGAAAGCTAGACACGAGATTTTAAGTAAGGGTTTAAACGAAGTGATTGTGGTTTTCAAAAGCTCTTTCTCTATTGGATAGTAACCACTTCATTTTTTTTTAATCTGAAATTCATCTGGTTTAACAGAAGATAGTAACATTAACATTTTCGTCTGAAATCTATTCGGATGAGTTTTCACAAAATTCTGATTGTAAAAAATGAAATTTCGACAAAAAAAATACACAATATTCTGGAGACGCCATTGTGTCCTTATTGGTACACGGAGAAAGGAATTCCGGTAAAATTACCGGAATTTCTTTTTCTATCAGAAATGTCATTACATAGGCATTTCTGGTAGAAAAATATATATTAATTCTGGTAATAAAACCAAAATATACGGTATTTAAACCATTCATTTTGTAATTTTTCTGTTAAAATGGTAACTGTTTACCAGAAATTCTGGTTTTCAAAATTATAATTCTTTCTACACATTTAGTAAAAAATGCAAAACTGAAAAATGAGTTTAACCAACTAAATGGTTTTTATGCCATGTTCCAAGGTATTGTGATAAAATTACCATATTTACCAAATTTTAATGCATATTGTAAAACCATATTTAATAGTTAATTTTACCAAAATCATTACCAAAACTCTTCGGTAAAAATTTCTCAGATATTTTGGTGTTTGCTTAGAGAGAGAAACGTGATAAATTTTACCATATTCTGATAGTTTTTATTGTACTTTTTTTCTCAGTGTGACAAGATAGTTCAGATTTAATTTAAAATACATTAAAATTTGAAATACAAGAGTCAATTTTAAAAAAAATGTCTTCCTATTTAAATTATTTTCTGATACTACAATTTAAAATATTTATTGGATTAAATTATTTCATTTGTTGTTTTACATAAGAAGTTTATCATAAATTGAACAATTTCTTTCTTTCTTTATAACTTTTTATGTAAATCTATAAAAGATAGCCCTAGTGCATGAATAATTCTAAATCACATATAAGCAGGATATTTCGTAGACACCGCTCTTAATATAATTATTTGAAATCCTTGTCAAAATGAAAAATAATAACTGTGTAAAAAAAATGGTTAGCTCGAAATCTGCTAATTTCAGTTGAGGAAGACGAATGTATGAAACTCTAAAACCTGCTTGATTGCCGTAGAAAACAGAGAGAGATTGAAAGACGATTGTTGGAAATTTTAATCTCTAATTAAACAGGTTTTGGTTCCTACTTTCCTTAATTGTGATTTGCCAAATTTCTACAGCATATTTTTTCTTGAAATTAATTTGAGACTTCCGATAGGAAGACTTTTTTGTTTTCTTTTTTTACAAGATTTTGAAAAGTTTATTAAGTGATATTTATAAGGAACCTTATATAGCGACAACTAAAGTGGGATAAAAGTTGTTTTTTTTCTTTTTAATCAAATTTTTTTAATATTACAATTAATTTTTGTTATTTATTGCATTTATGTATAGATTAATTAATATACTGTTTGAAATAAATCTTTTAATTTTTGTTTTTTAGATGGTAAAGAGAGCTGATCATGGGAGAGAGGAGTCGGACCTGGATCGAATCCAGGACCTTTTTCCTAGTGACCACCTAAGACTGCATGAAAGGGATCCTCTATCTCCGGTAAATTTTAATTTTTTTTTATTCACTTGTTTTTCTATGTAACAGATGCGTAGCGTTTTTAAAAAGTGCTTAAAGGTGCTTATTTTCGATTTTCGTTTTTTAAAAGCCCTTATAGGTGCTTTTTTCATTGGGTGTTTTTAAAAAGTTCTTAAAGGTGCTTACTTTCGATTTTCGTTTTTTAAAAGCCCTTAAAGGTGCTTTTTTCATTGGGTGTTTTTAAAAAGTGCTTAAAATTGTTGCATTATATAATGTTGAACCTTCTATCAATTTATTCTCTAACAAATTAACCTTCTAACAATTTAATTAAGTTGTACACAGTCTAACATTTTAATATCATTTAAAATTTTAAATTCTTAGTAAAGTTTTTAACTGAAACTTTCGTTACAGATGAATCTAAAACTTTCGTTCACGATGAATCTTTATCTCGTGTAATTAAGTTTAAGAATGATTAATTAATACCGGTATTTGTTTCAACATTGTCATTATTGAAATTGCTGTAAGTTTTGTCTAATTTAATTGTTTAAAATACTCCGATATTTTTTAACACTATTCTAAAACTGAATAAATCATTGTAAATTATAATTATAACGGAATAACACAAAACAATGAACAGCAACTGAATATTACGAATCGACCGCAACTCAGCTCTAAAATCCCCATTCTAAACTTGAAATGAATCTCAATAATAAATACCAGCAGTTTAAAAACAAATCCTATCACCTGATAAAAAATAGGAATTAATTTCCGTTCTTATTAATTCCTTATCAACAAAATGCAAACTTCAATATCTCAATATAAACTTGGAAACTGTCGTGCTTGTAAAGTGCGGAGGGGTGGTGGGAGCAGATGTTGAGAATAAACCATATGCCACTACGCAATATCCTCCTCATCTCCCCCATCTCTTACATTTTATTCCGGACATCCGATTAGATTGTACGCGCCAAAACAGCACTTCCGGCATCCTTCGCGCTTTTTTTTTAAAATATTTTTTTTAATAGTTTTTTCTGTGCTGAACCCACCGCTCTTTATAACTGAGGCCATGACAGTGATATCCCCGTTATTCGGGTTATATAAATATGGTATATAAAAACACATTAATACACGGGGTGCCCTGATATTAAATTTTCTGATTGTCTGAAACGGCGATGACTGACATTTACAGGCTGGGATAAGAGAATTTCTTATTATCTTTTGGTGGATCGAACTTTTGTTCTGATGCAATAGTTTGGCTTAAGAATTGTTAAGTTTTTAAAGGTCATTGCATCAAACCGATAGTAATTTTTTAATGCTTTGTTTTGTTGCTTTTAATATAAATATTCTTCTTATTATTCATCTGATTTTTTTCAATAAAATTGCAGTTGATTTCGTTTTAATCCATATAAAATACCTGAGAACAATTTTAACTTGATAGATTTTAATTCTCCCAGTTGTAGCTTAACATCACGTTAAGCTTAAAACTCTTGATTAATAATCAAACAAGCATAAGTAAAAATGATTGTTACTTATTTATTAGTTAAAGTTATTTTTCTTTGTTACTACTTAACTTACTTTGGGATTAATATTCAAATTAACTGATATTTTGTTTATCAAAATTTAAAATTAGTTTCAGTAATACTTATTCAAAATTTTGTTGTTATTCTAGATTGCACGCTCTAAAATACATTGTTTGAAATTTTGAATCGTAATAAACCATAATATAGAGCACATCAACTTCTACTTTTGCCAATCTATATAATAAAAATAAACAAAGTTAATATTGATTCTAAGTTGGATCATATTATAGTATTTCTTTACACAAAATTATGATTCCACTTGAACGGAATTATGATTTGATTTAACGACTAGATGTGGTATCACGTAATGATACTGTGATTCAATGTTGAACATATTGATTTTTAAACAATGTTGATTTTTTCGAGAGTGTTCGTTTTCTACATTGAACTTAAAAATAAACTTGTTTTATTTTAATTGCAACATTGCATTGAAAAAAAAAAAGAATTTAAATCTCCTAAATATACCATTAAGATTCATAAGAAACTTGGAAAATAATTTGGCATATTCCAATATACCAAATTATTTTAATTAACACTACCATTTAATTAAATCATTTTCAAAATTAAATAAGCTTTAATAACAGATTTCAAAGCTTCTGGATACATTTTACATGATTTATATTTTTGTAACATTCGCATGTTTTTCTTAGAAAGCCGACACTTAACAGTGAATATCCAGAATTTTTCCAAAAATCGGATTATTCGTTCATGCGTTCTGTCAATTTGTAAATGAAATTTATTTTGCTCTTTCTATAAAAAAAAAAAAGGAAATTAGGAAATTTTTAAAGTAAATATTACGTTGAAATGCATTCTCTAAATTACCTTTTAGCATTTACAGTAAATTAAAGTGGATCTATAGAAAACCACGGTTGCATTCTTTTCAATATGGAGTTTCGCATGGATTTTTAAATTAGTTTATCTGTTTTTAAGACAATTTCTAGTATGTAAGGAAATGGTTTTGGGAGTTAGAGTTGGAGGTTTTGAGACAGGCTTCCCGGGTTCAAATCTTAATGATTGCTAAACACACATTCATTTATGCGTTTTCTATTTTTTCTATCTTGAAGTTTTACGGTAAATATTGAGTTTTTGGTTATAAGTACAAGGCAAACAGTGACAGATTTAGCACAGCACACTAACATTAATACAGTATTCATCATCCTATTTGACTGGACAGTCCAACCTCAGCTAGTGCCTTCTTCTGAACTCTGCTCCTCTGCCTTCTATTTTTGACACTTATGCGCCAGCTTTTTTTCCTTGATAGTAAGGAAGGTAGCTTCCACCAATCTACCCCTTTTCTTGGTTGTTAGCGATTTATAAGAAAGAATTTTTTTCTTAATTTGGAATCATCGTCCATTCTAAATATATGAGCTGCCCAGTTCATTAGATAGGTATGGGGGAACAACCCTATTTCGTAAAAAAATAATAATAACTCCTTGTTACGAAATCTAAAGAAAGAAATTCACAGCAAATTCTACGGAGTAAAGCATTCGCCTTAAAAAAAAATTCTGAAACTTAAAATTCGATTTCGAGCAAACCCCCATTAACTACCATCGAACTGTATGACATAACCCCGACGAACAAGCCATTGGTCTTATTCATAGCTATTTATCTAACTATAAATATATTTTACTGCATTATTGAGTCAGACAAGAACAAACGATAAGATAGATAATCAAGGTCCAATAATTCACCACAAAAAGCCAGGTAAAACGGAAAAAAAAAATGCGACGGCAATCGTTGTTCGTGATTATGTAATAGATTTTATATCAATAACTTGGAATCAATTCTGACATATTCCTACTGACGTAGCTCAACATCACTAATCTCTGGAAGTGTTGAGAGCCATTGGAATTGAATCGGGTCAGAGTTAAGCGAAGGCGTGCGGTAAGAAATGCCGTTGCTTACCTTGTGAGAAAGATTTTTGTAGGTGTAATAGCGAAACAAGTGTTGCTTTTTTATTCTTGTTGCATATTCATGTTTTTCGCCTTAACTCGAAGAACTGAGTTCGGAAGAAAAAACTTCAGAAACGGTTGGTTGGGTTTGAGGTGAGTTGAGTAGAGTTTAGGTGCGTTTTTCTGCACCATGGATCAACACGTTTTTGTGTGAATTTAATTCTTTTTTTTTTTTTTTTTTTTTTTTTTTTTTTTTTTTGTGGTGTTAGATAACAAGTTCTAATGTTAAAAACACGATTAAGGTGAGTGATATTTTCTTCTCTGTTTTTCGGGGATATGTTATTACTACTAAAGGATAAAACATCAATTTCTTATTTGTAGCTCGAAATTATTTTTAAACATGTTTGTTCTGAGTCTTTTTTTTTTTATATTAAATACAAATTCAAAAATTTTTTTTTTTAAAAATTGTGTTCAGAATTTAAGTGCGAGTCTGCAAAGTAAAAATATTTTTTCGTTAATTTTGTTTTTAATTCTTTATTAGTTGACTAATTTTTAAATTGTAATGTATTCGAGCAATATACTAATGTGGTATCAGTATTTCTATTTCATAATATATTATTGAATAACACCGAAAAAATAATTTTGTTAAAGTGCTTAAACAGAATTTTACGTAATGATATTAAAAAATTAAGTCCGTTAAATTTTTTTTATGCATTAATATCACTTTATCCTTATTCAATTCAATCAGACGATCTATAACTAAAGGTGTAAAAAAAGAAAATATTTTATGTAAAAAAATATTTATGTAACAAAATATTTAAAAACCAAATAGGCTGTCGGATTACTTTCAACAAATAAATAAACTAGTAATTGGGTTTAATCGAATATTTTAAAATGCGTAGTGATGCAATCTATTCACTGTAAGGTAAAAATGTTTTTGTACCTAAAGATTTAAAACCAAATAGGCTGCTGGATTGTTCTCAAAATAATAATAAAATTGTAATTTGGTAAATAAAAAATTTTAAAATTTATAAACGTTATAATCTATTTAATATAATGTGCAAAAATATTTCTGTACCAACGAATTTAAAATCAAATAAGCTGTAGGTTTTTTTTAATAAATAAATAAAGTAATAATTTGGTTAATCAAAAGTTTTAAAATGTATAGTGATGTAGTCTATTCAATGCAATATAATGAAAAAATGTTTCTGTGCAAAAACATTTAAAACAAAAAAGCCTGTAGAATTATTTTTTTTAAAAAAGTTAAATAGTAATTTAGTAATTTGGTTACTCAAAAATTTTAAATGTATGATAAAGTCTACTAATACTGGTCTCGATACTGATACTGAACTTGTATGTACTAGACTTGGTACTGATACTGGACTAATGATACACACTGAAATTATATATATTCAAAAATTAAAATGCATATGTTTAAATTTAAAAATAATATTTATTTGTTTAAAATTAAAACCAAATCCTGCTTTATGTATGTATTTAAAAAATAAAATACATGCATAAATAATTTAATGTATTTCGCAATTAAAATGCGTAT